GGCCAATCAGGGTGGTGAGGACCCATCAGAGGCGGAGCCGGCCTTTGGGAGGGGTTGCAGGAAGTTGGCTGGCCAGCCCTGCACCCTATTGGGGTCGGGGGCAGGGGAGAGGCAATCAGGGTCAGGGCTGTCCAGGGAAGGGGCTGCGGAGGGGTTGGGGGGGTTGGCCAGCTGCCCCGTCCTTGATCGGGGTGGGAGAGGCTGATCGGGCCGGTTCGCTGGCCGCAGTGGACATCATAGCAACTGGTCGTTTCAGTGGTTACAGCGTTCCAGTCACTGGCTTTTTATATATATAGATAATTTTACATATAATTTTCCAGCAGTGTTGATTATAATAGAGTATATAGCCGTAACCAGTTTGGCTCAGTGGATAGACCGTCGGCCTGCGGACTCAAGGGTCCCAGGTTCAATTCTGGTCAAGAGCATGTACCTTAGTTGCGGGCACATAACCAGTGGGGAGTGTGCAGGAGGCAGCTGATTGATGTTTCTAACTCTCTATCCCTCTCTTCTCCCTTCCTCTCTGTAAAAAATCAATAAAATATATTTAAAAAATAATAGAGTATATTATTTAAACTCCTCAAAATTTCTGGTCTTATGGCCCCATAGTGTAGCTTTTCATCCTTTTTTTTTTTCCTTCTGTTTTTCCCCAGAAAGTAATACTGAAGTTAAAATTCTGAAAAAAAAAAAAATTCTGTTCTTAACCTTAGCTGATTGCTCAGTGGTTAGAGTGTCAGCCCAAAGAGTGGGTTCGATTCCAGTCAAGGGCACTCCAGTCAAGGGCATGTACCTCAGTTGCAGACTCAGTCCCCAGCCCCCATCAGGGTGTGTGCCAGAGGCAACTAATCCATGTGTCTCTCTCACATAGGTGTTTCTCTCTTTCTCCCCTTCCACTCTCTTTGAAAATCAATGGAAAAACATATCCTTGGGTGAGGATTAACAACAAAAATATCTGCTCTTAATCTCTTCATGGGTTGTACTTTCTCTTCTTTCTCACTTTTCTAATATTGTGTTTGTTACAGAAAAGGTTTTCTTCAAAAATGGATGGGATGTCTTCAGAGACTAATGAAGAAAAGTAAGTTCATTTAATGCCTCTAAAAGTGTTAAACTTTATCAGAGAAAAGATACTTCTTCAACTAGTAAGACCTATTGACTTTGTAACATTTATTTTTTTCCCCTGGAAGAGAATGGAAAAAGATTTCAGAAGTTATTAATAGGTCTTCCTTGCTATATCTTTATATAAACTCTTCTAGAGTCAACACTGAGATAGGCTTTAGAGACCGTGTCTCATCTCTTCAATTTAAGGATGAGAAAATTGAGGCATAAAGAAATGAAAGGATTTGTCTAAAGTTGGCATCACAAACTGGTGGCCACAATCAGAGACATAATTTTTTTTCCTTAAGTTGGGTTTTTTAATTTTTGAATTAGTTGCCAAATTTCAAAATTTCATATAACAATTAAATCTAATTTCAGCTTCTCTTGAAAAATCAGCTGTGGCTACACTGGGTTTATATTTATGCTTGGCAACAATTAACCTGGGTGGAATAATGGCTATGACCTTCAGACTAGTCAGGAACTCTCCATTATAGTCTCCATCCCACCTATTTTTCTTGCACTTACTAAAGTATATGTTTTGCCTTCATAGGCATTTGAATGTTTACAACCTGTTCTAAAAAAATCACACAATAGTAAAACGAGAACTAGAATCTCTTGATTTATAGCCCATTTATCTTATAATTGTACCTTTGTAAATATTTTAAATTATGTTGTACTGTGTTTTAAGAGATAGTATAATAGTATACAGTATGTATTTTAACCAGTTAACTACCACACGTCCAAAATGGAAACCATCCCCACATGCCACAATATTTTGAATGTAATTAAAAAAATTATCTGACTCTGAAGTTGAATAAAGGATGTCATCTTCTTCTTGCGAGGTGCTTGGTTCAATTATTTCTTCATCTGATGCTGTTTATGGGAATTGAATTTTATTTGCACAATATAATATATTACAGTGATAAATTCAGTAATAAAATAATAATTTTCAATTCTATGGAAATATCAGCAAAAGTGAGCGTAAAATAAAAATAAACCATCGACATGAAAAGCCTCAAAAACACTAAATTTTGTTGATGCTCCAAAGACCAAATCTATAAAAAAATAATGAAGAATGCACACCATGTTTACCATTTTAGGCATGAAATTCATGATAACACAAACAAATCTCAAGTGTCACAGTGAACAAAAAAAAATTCTCAAGTGACTCAGTGTTTATCTCTTGCACGTCTGAATGACAGCCCTATATATCTATATTGAAATTTCTTCCATATGCGCTGGAATATTTACAAATTTAAGTTACCATAATTTTCTTTACAAACCCAGAGATGTCACTAACAAGTCTGATTTTAAAATTGGGCAACCAGAGTTGATATGCGAAGTTTGCAGCTATAGGCGCATGTAGCATGTGGGGAAGGTCCACTGCTTGTGTCTATAGATGCTTATGGTGTACAAAGGGTTAAAACACTGACTATAAATATTGAATTTAGTGTTATAAATTTTGCTAAGTGAAAGTAGTGCCAAGTTTGTTAAGTGAAAGTGATGGCCAATTTATAAGCATGTAAGGGATAATGTAGACTTTGGAAAATTCATTCTTCTTTCAGTGTCTATATAAAATTTTTTTTCTCTTTCAGTGACAATACAGAGAGACCTGTTAGAAGACGACATTCCTCAGTAAGAAATACTTATATTTAAGTTAATTGTTAACATTTTTTGAATGAGACTATATACAACAGTAATTTTGACTGTGGCATCACCATCCCACCCCACTGGCTTCTATTGCTTTCTGGATAGACTCAAATATTTAACCTGATTCACAATTCTTATAAATACATTAAAATTTTTTATTTCATTAATTTCATGGTAATTTTATGAATTGTATGCTATATAAATTATCTACTTATATAAAAACCCTGGGTGTAACATCACAGCCAGAAGTGCGACCAACCGGAAGGAAGTCCT